CTACTTTAGGATTTCTGTTGTCATGAACCTGACCAACAGTGGCACTCCTCAACTTGGCCATAAGTGGCATTCCTCCGCTTGACCAACAGTGGCACTTCTCCACTTGACCAACAGTGGCACTTCTCCATCTGACCAAGAGTGGCACTCTTCCATTTGACCAACAGTGGCACTCCTTCACTTGACCAACAGTTCTACTCCTCCACTTGACCAACAGTGCCACTCCTCCACTTGACCAACAGTGCCACTCCTCCGTTTGACCAACAGTGCCACTCATCCACTTGACCAACAATGCCACTCCTCTACTTGACCAACAGTGCCACTCCTCCACTTGACCAGCAGTGCCACTCCTCCACTTAACCAACACTGCCACTCCTCCACCTGACCAAAAGTGCCACTTCTCCACTTGACCAACAGTGCCAATACTCCACCTGACCAACAGTGCCACTCCTCCACTTGACCAACAGTGTCACTCCTCCACTTGACCAACAGTGCCACTCCTCCACTTGACCAACAGTGCCACTCACCACATGACTAACAGTGCCACTCCTCCACTTGACCAACCGTGCCACCACTCCACTTGAACAACAGTGCCAGTCCTCCACTTGACTAACACTGCCAGTCCTCCACTTGACCAATAGTGCCACTCCTCCACTTGACCAACAGTGCCACTCATCCACTTGACCAACAGTGCCACTCCTCCACTTAACCAACAGTGCCACTCCTCCACTTGACCAGCAGTGCCACTTCTCCACATGACCAACACTGCCACTCCTCCACCTGACCAAAAGTGTCACTTCTCCACTTGACCAACAGGGCACTACTCCACCTGACCAACAGTGCCACTCCCCACCTGACCAACAGTGCCGCTCCTCCACTTGACCAACAGTGCCACTCCTCCACTTGACCAACAGTGCCACTCTTCCACTTGACCAACAGTGCCACTCCTCCACTTGACCAACAGTGCCACTTCTCCACTTGAACAACAGTGCCACTACTCCACTTGACCAACAGTGCCACTCCTCCACTTGACCAATAGTGCCACTCCTCCACCTGACCAACAGTGCCACTCCTCCACCTGATAAACAGTGCCACTCCTCCACTTGACCAAGAGTGCTACTCCTCCACTTGACCAACAGTGCCCCTCCTCCACTTGACCAACAGTGCCACTCCTCCACTTGACCAACAGTGCCACTCCTCCACCTGACTAACAGTGCCACTCCTCCACCTGACAAACAGTGCCACTCCTCCACTTGACCAACAGTGCTACTCCTCCACTTGACCAACAGTGCCACCCCTCCACTTGACCAACAGTGCCACTTCTCCACTTGACGAACAGTGCCACTTCTCCACTTGACCAACAGTGCCACTCATCCCCATGACCAACAGTGCCACTCCTCCACCTGACAAACAGTGCCACTCCTCCACTTGACCAACAGTGCCACTTCTTCACTTAACCTACAGTGCCACTCCTCCATTTGACCAACAGTGCCACTCCTCCACTTCTGAGTCCTCGTTCCTTCCTCATTACAACGTACCTTGGCGGAAATATCGCATTTGTTATGGTTTTTGTGTCATCTCTGTGATGTTTCTCCTTCTTCTGAAACGTCTCTCATTCATTCATTAACCTTATTACCTTTGTTTACTTTACTCTCGTCTCACTGTTTCTTAATCCATTTTGCCGACCATCCAGTTTTTTGCCCCGTTTTTTCATTATCCCTCAAAGCATACAAACTCAGAACAGATAGTAAATGTCTCCAGGTCACTGTGAAAATGGCACCTGAGAACCCCACTCCACTAGGATAATGGCTTTATCAGTCAAACGAACCTCATTCCACTCTCAAAATGGTTCCATCACACCAATGAACCTCACTCTATTGCTCGTTGGTCCATACTACGATATTTTTGTAGCGAGAGAGAGAGAGAGAGAGAGAGAGGTTGAACAATCTTACTTCGTTTTTAATGGTTGAAGGTTCAAGGGGAATATATTGGATAGTTCAGTATCTCAATTATTCCCCCCAAACCCTTCCTAAACTTTTTATATCTGCTTATTACTTAAATCTGGAACACTTGTTCCTGGTTAATCTGTTGTACTCATTTATATGTAGTTGCAGGAGTCGATTCACAGCTCCTGGCCCGGCCTTTTCGCATGTCGCTGCTCGGTCCACTCTCTTCCTGCTTCAAGAGCGCGCGCGTGTGTGTGTGTGTGTGTGTGTGTGTACTCATCTGTTTTTGGTTTCATGGGTCGAGTCAGAACTTCTGGCTATGTGTGTGTGTGTGCGTGTGTGTGTGTGTGTGTGTGTGTGTGTGTGTGTGTGTGTGTGTGTGTGTGTGTGTGTGTGTGTGGTGTGTGTGTGCATGTGCTTGTGTGTGTGTGTGTGTGTGTGTGTGTGTGTGTGTGTGTGTGTGTGTGTGTGTGTGTGTGTGTGTGCGTGTGTGCATGTGCTTGTGTGTGTGTGTGTGTGTGTGTGTGTGTGTGTGTGTGTGTGTGTGTGTGTGTGCGTGCGAGTTTCGCTCCAGTGCAGCATTCAACTCCCCTCTATTTCACTAATAGAGGTCAGTTTCATGGCCTATAAAGCAATCATTACCCAATCGGATTGCTCCTAGCCCGATGACGTCATTCAATGATTATCCTTTGACTGGTCCTTCAAGAGTCATGAAGATAACCGCTGATGACCTGACCTCGCGAGACGCCCGCTAGCCAAGCAGATAACCCGATAACAGGTCATCACTCTAAATTTCCACATTTCAAGTGATAACGTGAATACAAATCATGTACCCACAGATACACACAAAATAACATTCTCGGTTTAATAAAATATATCTAAACCCCCATTACAGCCTTGCTAAACCCCCCTCCCCCTCACCACCCAAACATTCTAACCCCCCTCCTCCTCCTCCCCCCACCTGGCTTCCCCTCCCCCATCAACGCTGAGACAGGAATGGAAATTGAAGCATTAATTGTGTCGCTTTTTATTCAGGTGCACTGACGGCTGCTTTTAAAGGTCAGCTGTGCACTGTGAACTTCGACCTCGAAAGAAACGGAAGGACACTCTAAATTTAGCTTTAAAAATTATGAGGAACTAAGAAAGAGAGAGAGAGAGAGATAAAGAGAGAGCGTGTTTGTAAATATATATATATATATATATATATATATATATATATATATATATATATATATATATATATATATATATATATATATATATAATCACCGAGGGAGTTGAATGATAGCTCTAGGCCTTCAGTGTTGTTTTAAGTTAGTCCAGGAGAAGGATGGTAAGAATTGGGATGGAGAGGACTTGAGGTAGAGCAGAAAAGTGACAAATTAAAATCAAATGGTAAACGAAAGACGGACGTGACACCGAAATGTTGAGTATTCTTTAAAGGAATGAGATTTGTTACGTGGTAAATGATATATTGTAAATTTGATAATGTTAGCAAGAGAATATGTTTGGGGCACTGCATAGCGAAATAGATCGAGAGTGGTCTGTCAATCAGGTAAAAGAGAAACCACTTGATATAATGCAAAGGATTGCTATCAAGCTGGTCTCTGAGCTCAGAACGATACATCAGAAAGTAGGACTAAAGGAATCGAACCTGACGTCCGTGGAACAGAGGAGGGCAAGGAAGAATAGGATCACGAGGAATAAAATAATCAAAGGAATTGCCAGCGTTGATTAGGACCAAGTATAAGGTGGTCAAAGACAGAGGTTATGAACGTAGATGAGTTTAGGGATATTAGGAAGTACTTTTTCACTCTTAGGAAAGTGAAACTAATTAGATGTGAAAGTGGAGGCAAACTCCATACACAGTAGATACGATAAGGCTCTAAGAGGACAGAAACCAGTATTTCCGGTCAGTGGGCACACACACACACACACACACACACACACACACACACCACACACACAATAGAAGTGACGGGATTCCATATATAGCTTTAAGAAGAGGTACGATAAGGCTTTTGGAGCCCTGAGGAGAGACTCCTAGTAACTCCCAGTGAAGAGGTGGGGCCAGGAGCAGTAAATCGACCCCTGTAACATGTAGGTAAGAGCACAGATGCAGAGGATATGGGTTATTTACAGTTATCTAGAACGTGTTAAATTAGACACTTGTGCAACACTTGGGTATCTTTGCTGTGGAAACGTTTCGCCAAGCAGTCGCTTCATCAGTCCAGTACAAAAAAAGTGAAGAAGAGAAGGAGAGTGAGGTAATCAGTCCCTCAGATCTTCGCCATTCTATTTTGTATAGGACTGATAAAGCCACTGCGTGACGAAACGTTTCCACAGTAAAGATACCCAAGTGCTGCACATGTGTCTAATTTATCAACTTGTTGGTTCTCTGAACCATTTATCATCTGCCTCACAAGGTCGAGGTAGTTACGTAAGTTCCTCATTTGTCGTTCTTCACAAATCCTAAGAAAACTGTTTCAGTCATTTGGGTTGGTTTGTTAAGTTTAAAGCTTGTCGGCTGCACAAGGGATCTAAAAGGCTGCGTGTAACGTGGGAAGGTGGGGAGGGAGGACTGGTGAAGGTTAGGCGATGTACTTTTCATGATATTTGACAAGTGTATAGCAGAGATATGTAACTACCTTTCTCTCTCTCCCTCTCTCTCTCTCTCTCTCTCTCTCTCTCTCTCTCTCTCTTCTCTCTCTCTCTCTCTCTCTCATACTTACAGTTCCGAAACATTTCTTTTAGGGACGTTTCTTGCCCTTTCTCCTAGTCCCATTGCTCTGGTAAGGAGTCATTTCAGTGTATAGATTTAGAACCATTGTTTAATGACTTAATTGTGTACATTACAATACATCTGCAATGTATTTACCTTGTCCTGTCATTAATTTTGAACTGACCAATTAACCCATTCACTTTCTTTCTCACCACTACCACCTCCGCCTCCTCCTCCTCCTCCTCCTCCTCCTCCTCCTCCTCCTCCTCCTCCTCCTCCTCCTCCTCCTCCTCGTCCTCGTCCTCGTCCTCGTCCTCCTCTACTCTCTCCCTCAGAAGGACGTGACAGGTATGGGCGGGGTGGGCACGTTAGAGTGGCAGTACAGCGGCGAGACAACGGTGCCAGGATCACTTGCAGGGTGACCAACCCATCACTGCCACTACACACACTGCAGGATCATATAGTCATCAACGTCACATGTAAGTACTTCTACCAATTCTTCGTACTCTTCCTCTTTCTCCCCCTTCTCCTCCTCTTCCTCCTCTTCCTCCTTCTGTTCTTCCTCCTCCTCCTCCTCCACATGTCACAGACGTAACGGTCTGTGGCAACGAACACAAACTGTACAATACATTACTAAGCATTCCCAAAGGGTTACCTTATACTAGGTACCTTAATTATTTTTTCTTCCTCCAAGGCTCTGGTTTATAACTTACAAACACCTCATCCGTGTGGCTTTAGTTGTATTAAAGGTGTTTTTTTTAATGATTTGTTGCTTGCACTGGATGTTGCAAACATATGTTTACGTCCACCGGTACCGTGTTGATTTGCATCTCTCAGTTTGGTCTCTTCCTACCCAGGGTTTCTGGTCTTACTGCACGGGGGATTGAGCCTCCACCCCTCTTTGTGTTTAATGTTTCACAGTAAGGGGTTTAAGTAAAACATCAACAACAACATTAATAATAAATTTTGCAACAGCACTCTCCCCTCCCTTTCCCTCTATTATTATTATTATTTATTATTATTATTATTATTATTATTATTATTATTATTATTATTATTATTATTATTATTATTATTATTATTATTAATCCTGCTCCCTTTCGCCCCCTCCCCTCAGTCTTCCTTCCTCTCGTCCTTTCCCAAGTCCTTAGGGTAAGATTAGGGAGGCGTCTAGGGAAAATTTCCGTGAGAGGGAAAATCTTCCATCTCCGGCAACAAACTATACCAGGAAGTTGTAAGGGCAAGAAAGTGGCGGGGAATTTTGTGGTGCCTGGCATATATCCCGGGTGGGTAGGGAAAATGTGGAGGTGAGGGGGGAGGTAGCCCCCATTACGACCCCCTTTCCACAGTAACACCCATTTCCGCACTAGTACTATTACTAACTTCCTTATAGCTACCGGTCTTCAGGTAACGATGATGGTCTGATACGTAACTACGTCTGTATAACGAATCCATAACGGTAAAAGAAGATAACTTATACGCCCTAACACGTAAATATGATTGTCAAGCAGCATAAATACGGTACCCATCAACGCAACTAGGATTAACAACATAATTACGATGGTCAAAGAGCGTAACTGTAGTGAATCCCAGGTAGAGCAATTGTAAAAAAGGCCGTACAAGTGTAAAAGAAGTCGTGCATTTGTAAAAGAGGTCATGAATTTGTAAACGAGTCGTGCAATTGTAAAAGAGTCGTGCACTCTTCAGCTCACGTGCCTCGAGAGTGGCAATGTTTATCCTGAAATATACATGACTCTCCTGCCAGCTCTTGGAGCTGAAGGAATGGAACCTCGGGAGGCTTGGGTAGTAGGACCTCGAGAGAGGTGGAGGAGTAGGACCTCGAGGAGGGGTAGGCATCGAGGCTGGTGGTTCCTATTGCCAAAAATCTTGTGTCTTTTCCAAATTCAATAGGATGTTAAGGAGCAGACAATATCCCCTTGTGGGGCAATAAAACTGGTGTCCTCCTGAGAAACGCGAACTTGTTCTTAGCCTCTCGCTCTCTCTCTCCCTCCCTCCCTCTCTCTCTCTCTCTCTCTCTCTCTCTCTCTCTCTCTCTCTCTCTCTCTCTCTCGTACGGAGATTGCAGTGTTTGTATTGATGCTGCTGCTACAGCTGGGATGGGGATCTTCTGGAGAGGCTGTGTTATGATGGTTTCTGTGGATGTTGTTGACGATGCCAGTGTGGTCCTGTTGGCTCTGCCTATCTCTTCCTTCTCCACCTCCTCCTCTTCCTCCTCCTCCTTTTAAATGAAATGTCGAGACATTTCAACGAAATGTTACATCCTTTTATTGCGAATTTTTGGGTTAATGACAAATACCTTAGAATGACCAAAGTATAGATGTACTTTAAGCTACTGGTGGGAGTGGGGCAGTACTTCTTCAAAACGTGTAGCTAGAGTAGCAGCAGTGACTGTCACTAACCTCTCCAGAGAAAAAGTTTTCCTGGTTGGAGTACTATTTATCCTCCTCTGTAGTACACTGGCAGAGTACTGGGCTGGTGATCTGAAGTTCGATAGACCAAAGTATAGAGTTTTGGGATTCTACTGGCTTGTCACATTCGATATAATTTCAAAATTACACACACACACACACACACACACACACACACACACACACACACACACACACACACACACACACACAATTGGAAGTTGAAGACCCAGATGAGTCAAAGGGATGTTAGGAAGTATTTCTTCAGTCATAGAGTAGTCAGGAAGTGGAATAGCCTAGCAAGTGAGGTAGTGGAGGCAGGAATCTTACATAGCTTTAAGATGAAGTATGATAAAGCTCATGGAGCAAGGAGAGAGAGGACCTAATAGCACTCAGTGAAGAGGCAGGGCCAGGAGCTGAGTCTCGACCCCTGCAACCACAATTAGGTGAGTACACACACACACACACAAACACACACAATGTATCCTTCGGCTTACGAACATGTTATATATATATATATATATATATATTATATATATATATATATATATATATATATATATATATATATATATATATATATATATATTCGTAAGTCAAAGGAAACGTTTTCCTTTATTTTCCCACTAAAATTAATAAATCTACCAAGCTGATTAGATGATTTACATACAAACATTATTTCTGTTTACTAATAACGAATGTCATAATTTAAATTAAAAAGTCTAATATAATCTAATATTAAAATTACTAATCCAACAAATCTTTAAATCAATCTCACTTTTATGCATAGTGTGTGTGTGGGAACAACTGTATATGTGGTTGTGGTTTAACAGAAGCGAGAGAGAGAGAGAGAGAGAAAGGAGAGGGAGGAGGGGGAACCATTATAGAAAAACTTACTCGTGTTCACAGATCTGGAGTTTAAAGCCTGAAGCTTGTCGTGCCTCGCAGCTCTAACACAGAAACAAATCAACAACACCTGACCTAAGCTCACAAGGCAGAAGACTCACACTCTTCAGAAATTCGCCAATGGTGCATCGATTAGATCACACAAACTGAAAATAATCTGCGGAAACTTGCACTTCAAAAAATTACTTATTTCATAATGGCTATTAAAAATTAACATTTCCCAAGAAACGTTTATAATGTATTTCATATCCTAAGGGGCGATATGGATTATTGGGGATGATATGAAGGTTTCTTATTCAGAATCATCTTCAGTACACTCTACAATTATTTACTTGGATTGGCGTTATGTACTAAGGAATAAACACTTCAAGACAAAGGAAAAATATACTATATATTTTAATCCTTATCAGTAAGTGTTCTAAAACTATTATTAGCTCTAAGTCTCGTGAAAAAAAATGAAGTTAATTTGAATCTGGTCAAGTAAATATTGACTTCAGATTTGTAACGAATGACGAAACTGTTGTATGAACTCCAGCAACATATACAGTCCCTGTAGATTATACAATACATTAAACTTCATTATTTAGCAAGTTCGAAATTATACATTCGTAAAAATTAAAATATTGCAATAGAAAGTTTCCAGGGATATAGCTTCAATTTGTATACGTTAATCACTGGAAGTACATACCTCTCAGTGTATATATACTGAGAGATACATATCTTTCAGGGTATATACACTGTTATTGCACAAGTCTGACATCAGAACAGAGAGACTACGTCATGGTTTGTGAGATCTTTCACATAGCGAGACATGCTTCACTTTGATAAATTAGATACATGAACAATACTTGGGAATCTTTACTGAGGGAACGTTTCGCCACACAGTAGCTCCATCAGTCCTGTACAAAGAAAACTGGTGAAGATAAGGAGTTTGAGATGATCAGTTCGCTGTCTCAGTTCAACAACAAGTTCACATCTTCAAAGTGCTCACACAAGTGCTCACACAAGTGCTCACACAAGTGCTCACACAAGTGCTCACACAAGTTCTAACGCTCTCCATTCTATTTTATGCGTGAGTTTCCCTTCGGAAGGTACATTGATGCTATTGAAGGGCTCCTGATTCAAGGAAGAGGAGCTACTCTTCTCGTCCTTGCATCAAACATTACTACCTCTCACTTTCCAAGCACCACATAACCTTTAATGGGTTAGTAAATCTAAATAATATTAAATAACAAATATAAAATTCTTTATTTTTTCACACAAATTTGGTTTCGTTTTTTTAGACAAAGAATAAACACCACACACACACACATATTATATATATATATATATATATATATATTATATATATATATATATATATATATATATATATATATATATATTGACAAATAATATTAAATGACAAAGGAACACAAACTTTGACTTTGTTTACACTTAATTTATCATGATTTTGTTGCTGATTTTGACACTGCATAGACTCTTGACAACAAGTTTCACATTGACACTGATTTTGATACGGATATTGTCTTTGACTTAGAAATAATAATAATAATGTAAATAATAATCATATTATTATTATTATTATTATTATTGAAGTTTAAGACCTTGAAAATAATATAATTTTTGCAGTCTGGCCAGTTGGAGCCAGAATGACAGATTTTGTTAACTTGCAACATTTGATCATTATGTTGTGGTGCCTTATGTTGCAAGGACGAAATTCTCTTTCTTTCTTTCTCTCTCTCTCTCTCTCTTTATATATATATATATATATATATATATATATATATATATATATATATATATATATATATATATATATATATATATATATATATCTGACTCACTCTCTTTCCCTTACCCTCTCTCTCTCTCTCTCTCTCTCTCATTTTCTCTCTCTTCTTTGTAACATTCATTCCTCTGTCCATCTCTCTTTAGCTTCCGATATCACATACTCCTTCTCTCTATTCTTCCATCCCTATATTCCTCCATCCCCCTTCACTCCTTGTTTTCCTTTCTCCCTTCCCTCCCATTTCCTACTTCCTCTCTCCGCTTTTTCTTTCCACCGCCTTATTCCCTTCCTCTCTGTTTTCTTTCCTCAATCTCTCTCTCTCTCTCTCTCTCTCTTTTTTACACAGGGTTTG